ATAGAGGTGAATACGTAATTATTTCTAGTCTAAAATAATCATAACAACACTATTTTCATATTAGTTTTAATTGTATTAATGCATCATATTGAAAGTTACCACCTCTACTTGTATCCCTCTTATTCTCATGTAAATAGGGTAATGCTCATTAAAGAAGAGCTTTGCACTTGTAACTCATTTACCTTGCATGTTCATATCCCATTCAAATCCAACAGCACATATTTCACTGAGTATTCAATTTCCTTGCAGCCCTTGTTTTGTTGTTCAAGCCTACAAAACAAGATACTATTTGAGATATGGGCTCTGTTTCTGTTTCATGCTTCCTCAGTATCAAAGTCGCCAAATTCTGTGACACTCTCACCAGCTTTACCTGAAATACTCTGTGATACCCAACTGAGTGAAGGATCATATGAAATAAATCATCATTCACAGGCTTTTTGTGTCAAAGGACTTGAGTTTATTCCCAAGTTGTCGTTGTTTTTGTAACTTCACTTCAGTTATACAGTGATTCATAACTTATCATGCAATCTAACGATTTTTTCTTGACAACGTGATTTGAATTCATGCTTTTCAATGTAAAAGTGTATTTGCACAGCACGGTTTCAAGTTTTTTTTTTATTTATTGAAAGCGTGTTTTGTAAACAGATATTTTACATGGAAAGTGTGGGTCGATCAGTTTTCATGGAAACAACTGTAGATGGAGTAATAAGCTAGAAACTACAACACATATGAAATCAAAATCCAAATCATGGTATTTTGAAAAAAAGATTCATCTTTTCTATCTTCAGAATATCTTTCTACAACTGAAAAACTCTGTTGTGCCAAATTGAGTGAAGGATCATATGAAACAAGTCATACTTTACAGGCTTTTTGTGCCAAAGAAAATGCTGCTGCACCATCTTTACTCTCTGCTGCATGGCCAGGTACTTCTTTTCTGGAATTGAGAGAAGTATTTCCTCAAATTTGGAATATCTTTCTCTGAAACAAACACAGAAAACGCTTCCCAATCCAATATCTCAAAGAATGGAGGCACATAGTTGTCTGATATGATAACTGGTACACACTCATAGTATATTGACTCAACCACCCGTGGAGTGTGAACTTCATAGCCCTTAGCACAAATGCAATATTTGCTGCTCTTCATGAACTCCCTGTATCTCAATTTACCTTCAATGTCACGAGGCATTGGCCCAAAGATCTTCATGTCTGGTTCTTTATTGTTCCAGTACTGTAATAAGATTGGACGGAGATAACCATGCATTCCCCCAGCAAAGAAGCTAAAATAGGTCTCTCTGAAGGGGGGTTTCCTCCTAGATCCATTTGGGGTTCTGAGACGTACGAACATAGGTTACTGGGAGAGAAACGTCCTTCCCTATTTTGAAACCTCTGACAACATTGGAATTGCAGAGAGCTCTGATGCAACTTCCCATTTTGTTTCGTGTGAAATGGGGGGCCTGGGAAATTTTGATTTTATTAGGAACCAGCATAATATATGTTAACCCCATTCTACTCAAATTATTACAAGGTTGCATTTACCTTAGGCTAAGCACGTAAATGACAGAGTACGTCATAATTTTCCCAGAGAAAGGACAGAGGGTAAGAGAGATCTTGTGAACTTGTAAAGAAACAAAAAACCAAAAAAATTTAAAGCGATATCTTAGAGGTCTCTGTCAATGTAGAAATATAATAGATCTCTGTCAATGTTGAAATTAATGTGACTGCATAGAGTTTCACGGATAGTGAAAATTATTAGCAAACTTGAAACGGAAAAAGCCAGACAAATTGTGTTGACTGGGCAAATTGAAACTTGTATCTTATTCTCCATTTGTTTTACCTACAGAATGAATGGAAAAGGTTAATTGCTATGATTATAAGATTTCCAGCTTTAAATTGATGCTAGACCCATCATTCAGGGGCCATTACAATGTTCACCCTCAATATTTCTAACAATAATAGTACTGGAGAGTGTTGTACTGTGAAGTTTTAAACCTTGGGAGGGAAAGTTCAATTTGCCAAACACCCTTGACAGTTAACGTCAACCAATGCTTAGTATGTATTCTTGTATGGAGGATAGTGAAAGTTTTGGGACTTTCTATGCGAAACTGAGTGCTATGGGATATGGGGCTCAAAACTCATAGGTCTAAAGCTCTAAGCTATAATAGCACCCTAAAAGATAATCATATTAAGCAATGAGTTAGCTTCGATGATATAGTAAGTTTAAATTTAAAGATGATTAAGGCATGGGATGCATACCCAGTCATGACAAGCAACAAGAAAATGATCTGCTCCTTTGGTTCTGTTCCAGAAACGATATTTCTTTGCAATCATGTCCACATAATTCTCCAGATACTTCTGTAAATCGTTCTGAGTAGAAAAATTTTGTTCATGAAGTACACTCCTTAGCTTCAGAGAACTAATAGGTAAATAAAACAAGTGAGCTTTTTTGGGATCCCTCACAACAAATTGTTTATTTCCCTCGATCAGTTTCATGAACCATCCTTCAGAAGCATAGATTCCCCTCATATATGGTTGATGGAATATTGGCTTTTCCCCTTCCCTATAGATATAAACTTTGAGCATTTTTTCCATCAATCCATAACCCCTGCACTTGAGATCACAAGGAAGCTCTAATCAATGGGATGCTCTCTCGAGAACAATACAGATAATTCAATTGCCTCAAGGATTTGGCATAGCAGGTCTCCACCTACAGTCAGCGTCTAACATTCATCATGGGCATATTTATATATTTGTTATTCACTTATTTATTTATTTAGTTGTAACTCAATGAAAATAAAACGATGATGAGATGATCAAGTGAATTTGTTGGTTTAAAGATAAATATGCAATTAATCATGCACTTACTGATAAGAAGACCTTCTAAAACACATGCAGCTATTGGAGGTCAACAAATAACATTAACAATGTCTGACCCCCCCCCCCCCACCTCCCTTTTTTTCTCCCAGCATCAAAACCTAGAAAGAGAGAAAAAAAAAATCTACCATGATTTAAAGCTATTGTTGATATAAGCAACAACCCTGATCTCACACTTCATAATTCTGTCACTAGTAGCCATCTTTTTTTTTCATCACAAGGAATCTCAAATCGTTCATAAAGGTTTACCTTGCTTATCTACCTAAGGCCCCACTTTCTCCACATGAAAGAATAATGACCGAGTCTAGGTTTGTAATCTGGATTGTCTGGACAGGAACACGCATAGTAAATGCATAGGATTGTGAGTGATCACAAAAGGACATAATTTGAAACACCAACTTTTTAGTATGTGTTTAAATACGCTTACCTTCTAAACATGGAAAAATTCCGAAAAAGAGAAGCATGAAGTCCAGGAGTGTTCTTCAGGATTCTAGAATTTTCAATCTGTAACTTTGCATTTTGCAGTTCCCTATCGCGTGCGGAAGACCACTGTGGCCTCTATTAAAAGTTCAAAAAAAAAAAGATGTTAGGTATTTAAAATACATAAATTAATTCTTGCTGCTCGTATCAGAACTTTGAAGTCCAAATCCATACCACTGAACTGGTTGAAACATAAGTCTGAAGCAATATTGAATTCATATCAGATATCGATGTTGGTCTTATCCTCCCCTCCTTCATCACAGAATTACCAGCCATTGACGACGTATTGTTTGAAGTATCTGAAACAGATTGCAGTAGCCCAGTATTTGAAATTTTGGGTTGGGTTTCCCTAACTTGTTTGCTGTTACGAATCACAGACGTGTTGGCCAGAGCAGATACACTTGAATTTGTTGCCTCTTCATGTGAGTTGTCATATTTAGAGATTGTTGGTGCCTTGAGTGGCAGGGAACCAGAACCAGCTCGATTGGGATATTTGGCAGGTGTTGAGTAGGTATTATTTTTTGGGTTGTTGCCTCGGGTAAGGTTGTAATCTGATTTCTTCACCCACTGAATGGAAGTTAATCCAAAGTCCATAACCTTTTCTTGATTAGAACTCTTATTTGTACTTCTAACATTTCTCATTGTCGAACTTTTCTTTAGGGTTAGACCCTCCTTAGATGTAGACTCATTACGCGAGTTCTTCTCTTTTTCAAAAATTTGTCCATCTTTCCATCATCCTTTGATGCAGAACCATAGGTTTTGCCCTCCCCTTCTACTTCACTCTCATACCCATCTTCCTCATCCAATTTAGAAGCATCAGTCTTGTTTACCACCCCATGTAGAAAAATACTATTTGCTGATTTTGAACCATTCAAAAGAACGGTGCTGCTAACCGCCAAAAAACCTGTACCCTCATGGGAATTTGGATGCACTGATAAATAATGGCCATAGGGAAGTGCAAATAATTGAGACAGAACAACGACAGTGATTATCATGCCCATAATTAACATCAATCTCTGGATATTGACATGGGATAACCTTTGAAATTGAGCTCCAATTCCCATATCATTGATTGGCAACAACCAACGGAATATCTTAGGCACACTTCAGTTGCAAAGAGATATGGTAACAGACACTGAAGTCATCACATGACCTGAAAAAGCAATTATCAAGAGAACATAGAATTTGTATTAAACAAAAATTATGTATATTGTCTGTTCAGACACAAAAATGATGCCTGGAATGAAATGATATATCATAGAGAAAATTCTGATAGTATAGTATCTACTTCACAGCGGGATTTTCGCAGATTTACAATAATGCTGAATTAGAGAAAATTTTAACTCCACAAGACATCAAAAGGCATCGCTTCAAGTTAATGGCCTAAAACAAAACTACTCTATCTAATTTTTAGTGAGATTTTACAACCCCTCATGGTCTAATAGAGAAGTTCTTACTATCTTTCCAGACATCAACATCAGCACAGAATTACAAATTGAGCATTTTATTTTTCAACATCATACTGCATTTTTCAATGCCAAAGAACTTTTATGGTACTTCCACTGATTTGTAAGATGTACTTACCCTTTATTATCATCTTCTTCAGAATAGAAAAAGTCTAAAACACACAAGTTGCTAAGTTGACAAAATCAAGTAAAAATCTTGACAGAATCCATTTTGACATATTAAAGTATCTAAAATCACAAAATTTAATTCTGGAGTCAACTGAACTATGCTGCGTAGTTGAAGCATCAAGTGTAAAAGGCATATATTTTCCTGAAGCTAGTCTCTGTTTGGTTTGAATAAAAACAATAAACATTGTGACTTTCCCCAGAAAATTTGTTAGCATAACTCAATAGGAATCGCAAGAATGCCTACCTTTTCTCAACAGTAAGAGCTGAAGTTTAAGTGGAATCTGAAGCAAAATCTGTCGGTAGAATCAAAATCAGAAACCCATTTCAGGAATAGAGAATACAAGCTTCAATAATTGAAGATTTGTGTCGCAGAACAGCTTGTTAATTATGTCAGGAGATAGAAAGAGAGAGAGAGGAAAATAAAACAAAATATTTTACTCGTTCGAAGGAAAAATATCATGGCCACATAACACAGGGAAATAAAATATAGAAGAAATTACACAAATAGTCATCCACCTATGAATCTTGTGTTAATTAAATTTCTATAATTTTTATGTTATCTGAGTCACTAAATTCTAAAATTTTATTAATTAAACCCTTTTTTTTTAGCAATCATTAGGTTTTTGATCAAAATGTCTTGTGTAATCATCACATGAACAACAAATTAGAGGTATTTTATACTGTTTGTTTAAAACCTATAAGTCAAAAAATCTCAGTCCTTATACTCATTAACCAAAACTCAAAACCTAATTTTTTTTCATACCTATTAAATGAAACAGATCAACAAGTTCTTCCATCTAATTTAGAAAATAAATTACATAAATATTATCTCTCCGAAGAGCTACTCAAAATTCATTAGAAAATGTAAATATAACCATCCAAAATCCATAATATAAAACAGAGCGGTTTCAACAAACTGATCATACGGTTTCAAATTTATTCATCTAACGATTAAAAAATTATAATTTTTTTCTTAATATTTTCTCCTCTCAAAAAGTCAACGATTACGGCAGATCTTTGAACACATCTTACGGTCTTAAATTCATTTATCCAACGGTCAAGAAATTATAATTTTTTTCCTAATATTTCCCCTTTAAATTTTTTTCCTCAATAAATTAACACTTTGTTAATCATTTATGTATAATACGGGTGTATTAAAGAATGTATATTAGGTTTTCAATTTAGTGTGTGTCCAAGTTCAATGCTTAATTATTTCATATTCACGATCAATATTCGATTTTTTTAAAATTGTACAGTGCCTTCAAGCATGCACGGGTTACCGCTAGTTTAACAACTAATACAGGAACAATATGTGAACGAAAAGAAATAGAGGAGAAAAGATCAATCATTCTCAAAAAGGGAATATTGGCTGCAACACCCCCGTACCCGTGTAGACCAAATCATCCAAGTCCGACTGCTACCTCAGTTGATACGAAAGAAATTAGAAGAATTGGATGAAAATGTGGCCTTATCACAATTATTCATTCTTTCTACGTAAAAATGGAAAAAACAGGGATTTTTTAAGCAATGGTCAAGAACCTGATAAATTGCACATTTGTTTCTCTTTATTGCCCTAATATTCACTAGAAATTACAATAACTAGGTTTGTGAATCTCTCTTGACTGTGGGGGTGTGGGTGGACATTGTACGTCGTGGGTGGTGTAGTTGGGGTGGTTTTGTGAAGAATTGGTTAAGCTTATGAAAATTATTCTATGTTTTAGGAGTTTGTGAAGGTGGATGGTTTTGGGGGTTGAGAGAAGGTGACATGGGTGCTGGTGTGTGACAGTGATTTTGAGTGTGGGTCGACGAGAGGGGGAAGGTATAAAGAAGAGGAGGGAAAGAGGAGGTTTTGAGGTACAAAGAGAGTATTGGAGTGAAAATTAAGTGACTAAACGTGGGTTGAGGGTGATTTAGTATAAAAGTCTAAAGTTGAGAAAAGTTATCTGCAATTGACTCTAAAGCATATATATATATATATATATATGAACAAAAAATACATCAAGAAAAAATGAATAAAAAATTCTCTAAAGCAACACCACATATAAATAAATACATCAGGAAAAAAAATAGTGACAGAACCAAATCAAATCACCATTATCATAATCCAATTTATTAACATAACATAATTATAAACTCAATCTACCAAAGTAATAAATATCTCAAACAAAAAACTGCTCACAAATGCAATAATCTATATAATAAAAATAAGTTTACAAATGTTGTCCAAAAAATAAGTTTTGTCATTTGAAATTCCACCAGCTTCAAAAAGAATGAATACAGCCAGTAAAAAAAAAAATATTTAGATGTTTTTTCATTCTCTAAAAACATACAATATTTTTTTTAATTCATCCATATTTAAATAATAAAAAGATTGAGAAAACATATTTACCTAAAAAACATCGCTTCATAGGTTCTGATGTTCATTGTTTGTTAGTTGAGTCTCCATATCTTCTAATGCTCGTAAACAGATTAAGTTATTTTCGATATCCTCTAACAGATCTTCTAATTCTATCACATCTAAGAAACCATTCTCAAACTTTGTATGAATGAAATCAGTCGACCAAGAAAATGGAAGCGTGCTAACAACAACATACAACATAATTGGATTATTCGGACCGAAACCTTTTGTTGTTTCAGTTTGTAAAATAATGATTCTTTTTTTTATATGGTCAATGACATTTGATTGTGGATCCATTTTCTCCATCTCAAACTGTATCCACAATGGATGGATATTGCGCTCCGCTTCCGCTAATAATTGTATAAATCGTACTGCATAGGTTGGTTGGTCATAATTGAAAATTTTTTCCTTTGCAGAATCCCAGGTGGTGGGAATAGTCTTTGCTATTTTTTGCATAATATAATCTTCACTTATGTTTTTCTTTACGTTTTGCATCATACAACCAAATCTAATTTTTTCTAACCCAAACTCTGAGATTGGGGTCCATCTTCGAAAGACTCATTTTCAAATTTATCTACTATGCTTGATACTGCCAAACGCATACTACGACGTGCATAGATAAGAGGGTATTTCATGTTATCTGTTCATAATATAAAAGTTACAAATTAAATTGATAATAATAAAATTAGCAACAGTTAACCAATATTACAACAATAAAATATTTTTTTTACTAACACATGTGATCTAATATTATAAGAATAATAGCAACAACACACCAACAACAACAATAAGAAAAATATAATAATTAAAATGTCCATGTACTTATTCGTTGCTGCAATATTATTCTTGATAATCATAAACATGGAACAATTAAACCAAGAAGGCAAACAATAAAAATAAACTCATGCATATGAATTATATTCAAAAAATATTAAAATGGAGTGTCTTGTTCATAAACATTACTTGAATGGTTTAGCCTTGCAGCTTGTGATTGTATTTTTTCTTCATCACCTTCTTGAGCGTGTATGTATCAATACATACAGTAAACACCAAGTTGCGAGAATGCACAACCACCTAATTATATAAAAACAGAATAACAAAATAAATCTTGGTAGAATTGATTACATCTAAAAATAATATATTTTGTTGGAAGAATGCAAGACTTATTTTACCTTATTATCACGTCCCCATTGATGTAGTGTAGTTTTATTTAATCTTTTCATATCTCTTGCCATTTCACACCAATCTTACAAATATTAAATCATAAAGTTAATCAAATCATTGATTATTTTAATTCTTTATCTTCAATAGAGATAAATTTATAATGAAATGGTACCATTTATTTGCAATCGGATAGGAAGTCCTATAACAAAACTTCGGGGTAAACGATATTCGTTATGCAATTTGACCCATCCTCAGGTAGAAGGACACTTATACGATCAGAAGATGTGCATCTAGATAGTGCCACATACAGGTGTTCATGTCTAAACACTGGTGTGCATAGATCGATCCCAACAAATTTTACAGACTGTCCTTGAAATTTGTTGATTGTCATAGCGTACGTCAATCGAACAGGAAATTGATGTCTTATCATTTGAAAAAGCAAATCTAGAGATGTTGGTGACAAAGATATTCTTGGAATGAAGACTAAATTACCAAATTTATCTCTAGTTAAGATCTAAGCTTCAATTACGCTTGTGGCACATCTGATAATTATCAATCGTGTGCCATTATAAAGCCCATCCTTTGGCGCTATATTCCTCAACAATATTATTGGGCAACCCACCTTCAAGTCTAACTTAAACGGTGGTAACGCAGAAGGGTCTAGTGAGTTTAAATACTCATTAAGATATCGATTCATGATGGATCGATCAAGTACATCACCGTCGGCTATTTTGTCAGCAGCTAAATATGTAATTGTTTCTCCTGGGAAAATATTCAATGATGCTGCATTTATAGCACTAACGTCATCATTCCTTGCAGAAAGAATTGTGCGCCCGGTTAGGAAGCTCGGGGGTCACTGAACCAACCGTATCCAAATGTGGATAGATTCTAAATATCAATTCTTGAAGAGTATGACACTTGTGTATTGTTTATGGAAGTTCTACAATTTCTTGTGGATTGGTTCCAACCTAAAAATTAGAAGTAAAACCAGAGAATATGAATAATAATAGTAATTCCAAATAATATGTTATATAACAAATGATCAATTAAATATTACCTCCATTAAGAATTTTGCAAATTCAGCATTTTCAGAATTTGTGTTAGTTAAATGCATGTTTAACCCTAAAGTCAAAACATGTACATTCCTCCACAATGCAGATCGCCTCAATGACGTACCTACAATTTGCTCGCGAACTCCTTTTGGTATAACTAGCAAGATTTGTAGAAAGTCTCCTCCAAGAACAACAGTGATACCCCCAAATAAATTTTGGTTATCACAGACAACCTGAAGTGTACGATCTACTGCCTCGACACAATACTGATTCTGCATAGGAACTTCATCTCATATTATCAATTTAGTTGATCTGAACAATTCTGCATGCATCGATTGCTTGGTAAACTCACAAATCAAATTTTTAAGCACAGTCAATGGGATACAAAACATTGAATGTGTCGCACCGCCTCCCATTAATAATAAAGATGCAATATCGGATGAAGCTACAATAACAACGATATATCCACAATTGCGCATTTTGTTAGCAACTGTATTATACATAAACATATTTTCCGTGCCAGCACCCCCACTCAAGAAAAAAGTAGTTTCTTTATTTTCAATTACTGATGAAGTGATTGCAGTATAAGCAGCATGTTGTGCATCATTTAGACGATCAATATTAGTTTGTACATCCGACTGTTGCGTTTCATGTTGGAGTTGTTGAGGCTTAAACAACAGTCTGTTACCAACTATTGCATTCCAATTCCCAATCGGTTGGGGCTTAGGTGGAAAGTCAAATAGACTTTTTCCTGACTCATGGAGTCACTG